ACACACACACACACACACACACACACACACATACACACACATACTCACATGTATACATACACTCACAAACTCACATGGTGTATCTTTTCTTATGGGGAAATCCTAAGCAAACCAGCAGACAAACAGACATAATGACAGACGAATAGAAAATCTGAGAATTTATTGCGACAAATTAGTCTATTTAATCGCCCTTTCCCACTCAAAAGTACAGAAATGAGATCTTTTCTTTTGGAATTTCTTCGTTACTCTTCAGTTTGTGAGCATTTCAAACTATCAAAGGACGACGAAAGAACAAATATCCCAAACTGGGAAATGGTCCTTCGTAATCGGTCCACTTATCAAAATGAAAAATCGACATCACTGAAGAAAGAACTGCGAAATTGTATCAAAGATTAAATAGTACCAAAGATAGTACATAACAAGATGGGCCACTCAGCCAAAAAAGTGTCCACGGGAAGTTCGCTCTTTGCTTCAGATGACGTTGTAGTCTGTTTTGAAGCTCTCGTTCGTTTTTCCAGAAGAAGAATAGAAATAGCACCTCCTTGCGTGCGCAGATCGACTGCTGTTCATCAGCAGTTCGGGTTCGTTCAGTGCGGAGTTTTAGGTTTTTTAAATATTAATGACCTCTCGCCTTTCATTCTAAAGTCAAATTAAACGAAGAAAACAATCACTCTTTCCTCCAGAAGAGGTTTTAACCATTTTTTTAAAAAGGGTTCTTCCGAAATGTATCCCAAAACTTGCTAGTTTCACTTTTATTTTTTAAATACCCAAGTAGGGTAGCTCTGTTCTCAAAGGGTGCGCTTTTGCGAAGAGGGCGCCACCGAATTTTGAGGACACTTTTTTAATTGGCTCAAAGACAGAAGTGGCCCCTCTTGTTATGTAGACTCTTTGATTGTATTCTCCCTAACCTTTGTTTCAGTCTCTCTCTCTCTCTCTCTCTCTCTCTCTCTCTCTCTCTCTCTCTCTCTCTCTCTCTCTCTCTCTCTCTCTCTCTCTCTCTCTTCCACTTCCTTATTCCCTGAAGACAGAATGTTCAGCTTTTAGTCACGCGCACAACGAACACACACACACACACACACACACACACACACACACACACACACACACACGCACACATTAACACACACATTAACACACACAGACACACACGTGTACACACACACACACATATTCACACATATACACACTCACCCACACACACACATTCATACACACACACACATTCACAAACACACACACACACACACACACACACACACACACACACACACACACACGTGTACACACACACATTCACAGACACACACACACACACACACACACAAACACACACACAGTACACATACACACACATGTAAAGGATGCAAATAATCTGTAGCAAAGACTCACTAACTTCGTGCCTGTGGCGCCGGGGTCAGTTCATCTGCAATAGGACCCAAAAGCCCAGCTCAACGGAATAGCGCTAATACTGAGCTCATGACGCCCCTTGTCAATTGGAGTAGGGAGTAGGCCTACATTACATCATTTTAAAAGTGTGTTTGCGCGTGCATTGAGGAGCACCAGCATTGTTAGAATGGACATTTATTGCATATCAAATGAATGGAGAATTTTTTTGTCGGCAATAAATAATAATTTATTACGATAGTTTGAAACAGATTTGAAAACAGAGCAGTCACAAAAAGCTCGCAAAATTTGGACTTGATATTTCATATTATGCTAATCTGTATGTAAATTTTACTTTAGGAGACATTGATTTTGTAAAGAACACGAACCCTTTGAGCACGGACTTTGTTTAATTTTGTACATAATAGTCTGTCATTAATGTATTCTAAAATGTGACAGACAATTGTAAAAAAAAGGCGTCTGAACGCGGAGCAAAGTCGCCTTTCTATGGTTGTGATTTCATGGGGCTCCACATATTCTAAAGGACTTGTATCTGGGCTATTTACTGGTGATTTGCTTTTCCAAGAATTGTCTACAAGTCATTGGCACGATGAGAAGGCGCTGTGTCATGCACAAAGATGTCTACTTGAATGATACAATGACGACTATAAAAATACGACGTGACGTTCTAGCACGTGCGTGATGTAGTCATCCAAACGAAGCCTTCCCTTGATTTTCAAAAGTTGGGTTTTGTTTATTCCAGCCAGGCCACTCCAAACAACGTCAGTTTCCTGGTCTCTGCTCCTCAATGACAGATTATAATGTCCGAAATCTAACTAACACAGTCAATGCTCAAAAAGGGTTAGTGCGCCACACGAAACCAAAGGCTCGTAAACAAAACACTACTAAGCATATTATTTAACGTCATGTCCAAGATTTGTGACGGCTCTGATTTCCAATCTCTTTGAAGATATCGTAGAAAAACGTTGTTCATTGCTGAGAAACAATTATATTCTCCACTCACTTGATACGCAATACCTTTCCATTACCAGCAATGCTAATACATCCCAATACAAGCGCGAACATACTTTTGCATTTCTTTGATTTCACGCAATTTTGCCAAGCCTGATTTTTAAGGTTATTTTTGGGTGACGATTTCTCGGATGACTTTCATTTTGGATGTTTGATAAATGTCTGTCCTTCCTTTAACCAGCAGTAGATGTAAACAGTATAATGGTGAACCTGAACATTTTATGCTCCGAATCTTTTTATAAACTGCATTGATGTTAGAGGATATTCTTTGTCGACACCTGTCTTCATCACAAGGAGAATAGGACAATGGACCTTCTACAGGAGCGTCTACGGGACTGGGGTGGGTGGGGGGCGCCTGCATGATCGTCAACAGTATCAGAGGACACTCTGAATGACCAGAGGACCATCAATAACGACTGCGTTGAGAAATGATCTATGATGATCAGTCCCAGAAGGTACTTGTCTTCAAAATAATATGTCTTTCAATACTGCTCACTGAGACATTATTTAACTCATGGATAGTTTAAAATTAGAATTATTTCGAGTAGTGGGTCTGAGTCTGAGTTCAACTTAAAATTTTCATATTTTTCATTTAGGCGTTTCTAAAAAGTTGGCCCTGATGATGCCTTGAGTCCTGAAAATATACCTAAAACATGAACTTTGCTTTTAATTAAAGTAACTCAAGCAGTTTACGATATATTGGTTGTCTAGATGCCATTGAAAGGTCTTACTTCAGGTTCAATCAGTTGCGTGCGTCTTTCTATTATAAGAAAAGTTTAGAAAAGTGAATTTTTTATTTAAAAATTTAATTGGACACAATGTGAACTATAGACGTCTCCGTGTAAGAATAATTCTACTATGCTTTTGACAACGTGGCACACTACATTTTTGTTTTTACTGTAAGGGCTTTGTTACGTATATTATTTTAGATGCTTCAACGTGAATGTAGTTTTTAGTATTGACCAAAGAAAGATCCTTGTTTTAGTAAAGGTATAATTTTAGAAATTCTAGTTCGCAAGAAATGTATATTGTATTATAATTGTAGAAAAGGGAAAGTTTTAAACATATTTACTGGCAGGTCCGTCCTTTTACTCAATGCTTAGAGAAGCAGATGTTAGGGAAATCTGTAAATGACAATTACATTAGCAAATTGTTTTTGTAGCCCCATAAAACATAATATATTCAATCCAAAACATAATACCTATCGCTATTTCTTATTGTGAGTGTGTGAATGGTGCCAATAGCAGGTTCTTTCTTTTCCTTTTCTCTTTAGCTTTATTTTTTCCGTCTCTAAGTGACTATTAATGCATCAATATGCTTGTCCTTTCTCATATTTAGTTACTCAAACTAACTTATTTATTTTTCTTAGAAAGCTGCCAAACCAACAGTTAACAGCTGCCCTAGAAAATCCAGACGGCAATGGCCTTCCTCTCACCGTGGATGGTCACATCCCTCTTCTGTGCATGACAGCCAGCCAATGAGAACGCTAGGCTAACATGACCTAATTCTGGTAATAGCACTGTGGAACAAGTTTTCAATCAGTCAGACAAGAACTAACAGACAATTGCCAGGCATCAAGAATACCAGCATCCAGCTACTCTTGAATGAACTTGTCATTTCCACCAGCTTACCACAGGCAACTTAAACAGCTGACAAAGCAGTTTTACTTCTATTATGAAGAAATTTGTTGATAGTACTGTATAATCCCACAAAGACTCTAGAAAACATTCCAAGTATCATGTCTGAAGGGAGATTTTCTAACAATCTTATTAGATACAATGTTACTGATTTAGAAACATGATAAAAAGATTTCTTCCTTCCTTTCAATACAAAGTTTGGTGACATCAGACCCACGGGGTCTATTCACTTTTCTGGTTAAACAGGTCTCATGGCGCTCTGTTGCTTCAGGCTTAAAGTGACGCATTACGGCTATGGATATAGTCAGATAGGTTGATAGGGAGATAGGAGGAGAGGCTAGGTTCAGAGTAGGATTATTATGTAGATATTTCCATGGATGAGAGTGAGTTGGGGGCGAGGGGGGGGGGGCAGTGTAGGGTTTCTTAGGGGACGGGGGGGGGTAGGGGGAGGGGAGTTGGTGAAAGAATGGAGTGGGAAGAGCTGCCTACTAATTCTAAGCTTGAGTGTGAGGTTGGTGAGATGACTTTAGTATTCTGTAATGTTCCTTAATGTGCCGTAAATGTGTTCACTTTTTTTTAAATAAAAACCAAATACACAAGCACTGACAACTGTTAGTTTTGCCTTTGGCCTTCTGTGGTAGACGTACAGATACCACCAATGTTTTGACTAGAAGGTTGTTGTTGTGAAAAGTCTGAAGCTCACTGATTCAACAAAGTTGAAAGCCACAAATGATGCCTGTTGAAAAATCTTGTTTACCCTAAGAAAAATGCTTCATAAACCAATGTTTATATATAGGCTACTCAGTTCTTTTTTAAAATATGTTACAGCTTTACTCCAAGACCTCATTGTTAACTCTTTAGAATTATTATATTCTGACCCCTCGTTGTTAAACTGCTTGAACTATACTCCGACCCCTCGTTATTGACCCTTTAGGACCTGTATCTTGG